ATGATATTATTGTATTGTTTGTAAGTTGTAAGTGCCGTACAACTCTTACTAAAACTAAACCAAACGTATACAATTTCAATTTTAAAAACTTGAACGTGTGTGCTTCCTTGGTCCTAACGAACAATGGGAAAGTAGAAGTAGAAAGCGTAGTAGTTTCTAGGTCAGATAGTGGCTAACAGCACGAACATCTTATGTATGATCTATAGAGTAGAGCTGGGCGAAGACTCGATTCCGGAACCGATCCCCACTATTAATGCTACGGAAGAAAAGTTCCGACTCCTTTTTACGTAAACCAACGGTTACCAGTCCATTCAATCATAAAAATCATCTTCTTTAAAAAAAAGAAGTTGTTTTGACAAAATAAAAGTTGATGCTTCGTAGTGTTCCGAAATCAAGGTTATCCTAAAGCCTGAAGATGTTTGGAGCCAAACAGATAACCACCGGCAGAAATCACTTTATTAGAAAGTAAGTAATTGGGTTCAGAGTCGATTCCTACGATTCCTCCTAGCTTTCAATAATCGGGAACCTAGCCGCCCAGCCCTACTATAGAGTCGTGCACGGCACTGCTGCGTGAACCAGTCTTGTTGCCTACATAGCATTGTATTTAGATGTTGCTTGGAAGTGTCAGTGAGTACCATTAGCAGATATAATAGCAATGCCACGTGAGCGTGTGTGTGTGTGTGTGTGTGTGTGTGTGTGTGTGTGTGTGTGTGTGTGTGTGTGTGTGTGTTCGTGCTCTGTGTTGTGTGTGTTGTGCGTGACTGAAAGAGAGAAAGAGATTGAGAGAGAGAAAGAATGTATGTATCTATGTACTATGTCGTGTGGGTGTGTATGTTTGCGTGAAGAACGGGACAAGGGAGGGAGAAAGGGAGAGAGAGAAAGAGTGAAGAAAAGAAAGCTGTTGAAAGAAAGATAGTCAGCTTAAAAGTTCAGGGCCGACCTAATTTGTTACAATTGAATGATGTTACGAGTAGCACTGACGTAAAGAGGGGGAGGGGACGGGGCGTCGTTCTTTGGAGTAACGATTTTTTGTTGTTTTTGGTACTTAAAAATTTTTTTTCCCTTATATTTTCTCTTTAAAAAAAGGGGGGGATGGCTACGCGTTAGGTTATAAATCAGAGAGAGAGAGAGAGATAGAGAGAGAGAGAGGGAGAGAGAGAGAGAGA